TCCATTTGCAAATAATCTTATTTACCTGCTCACATTAAGGTAAATTTGAGAAGTTAATGAAAACATTGTGGTGCAACAGCTACTCCTAACCAACAGCTACTGGTTATTTTTCTACTCCTGCAATCCATCATGATGTCTAGCATCTTTCGTCACATATTTTGACAAGATTTTAAGATTGTGTTGTTAGTGGCTGTTTTTTGAGGTCCTTTCGCAGCTAAATCTCATTTATGATTTTTTTTTTCTTGATGTTTAGGAGGGGGAAAAAACCTACATGCTGGTGCTTTATTTACCTGAAGCCATATGTGTATGTAACAGAAAGGTGTGTGACAAGACTCCATAAAGTCATCTGATGATCTGATCTGTTTTTGAGCTTGTTAATGGTTGCATACACTTTGTTTTAGTGGGTAGAAATGTTGCTACATTCTGAGACTTTCTTCTTGTTTTCCAGTTGTTGATCAAGCTTTTTTAAAGTGCTTGTGCAGCACTTGACTGGTAAAGTTCTCTAATCTCTCTTTCTGCATACATAAATCAGCATTGCACATGCAACTCTGTGGACCATCAGCCAATGTTGTGATCAAAACGTCTATGCTCTGTAAACATTCCTTTAACTACCGGTAAACCTAACTTCAATTTAGACAGAAGTCTGAGACAAAATGATAAACTTGAGGAATTTTTGGGTCAGTCAATTGGATGCAGAATTAGCTGAAAAGTAAATCAGGAATAATTGGTCTACGATATCAGAAACAGTGCTGATAGCATGCCGAGGTGGTGAGGTAATGAGTGCTGGCCACTCATTGCAGAACTAAGAGTGAGTTAGATCCTAAAGGTTATCTTAAGTCCCGGCTGTTAGATTAAGCACACTTGCATCATCTTTAACCCATCGATGCTTTCAGAGACTGAAGGTTTCCTTTTAAAATTATGATGCTCAGTCAGATTGAATGAAGAGTGTCTGTGAACATGAAGTCTTGTCTCACCAAAGAATTATATCTAAACTTTGTCAGGACCATTTAAATGCAGAGATACGGTTGTCCTGTTGAACAGTGATCTTCCTCCTCAATCTTTTTTCCAATCCCTAAAAGTATTTTTAACATCTCATTCATTAACTCTTTCATATGTTTCCCATCCTTGAGAAAAACAAATTGTGCATACTGCAATGCTGTCACTACCAGCTAGATTTTATGTTCATTGTAATGTGAAATGTTACTTTTCTGCTGGATGTAGTGTTTTGCATGCAACACAAAAAGTTAATCTATGATCTCATTTGACCAATACACCTTCTTCCCATATTTACTCCATTAGCTAAATGAGTTGTGGCAAAACGACAAGTTGATGAAGTTTGATGACTTTTTAACAATAGTTGCAGCTTCTGCTACTCTTCCACAAAGGATACATCAACAAAATGGACAAGCAGAAGTTATTCTATTGACAAAAAAGATCCATTCTTAGTCACACAGATGGGAAATTTGTCCTCTGCTTTTGGCTCATCCCTTAGAGAGCAGTGTGCTTCTACACTTTGAATTGTGAACTGAGAGCAATCCGGGATTAAAGGTGTTGCTCAGGGACTGCGATTGATGTTTGAGTTACAAACTGGCAACTTCTGTGGCTCCATTCATTGAAGCAAACACCCAGTTCTTTAACCATCAGATCACCATTCCCACATATAGAGTGTCTTCCTTTTATAAACTTCTGCAGTTACTCCAGTATTACCATGACCATCTTTCTTGATTAATCCTCCCCTTTTCTGGTCGGACAGTATCTTGGTAGATTTGCTAATTCTGTCATATTATCATGTGATGTGTTAAAAAGAGCTCTGATGAGTTTAAAGCTTTCAGTATCGTTTTTTAACCTAATTAGGCATTAACATATCTTAACAAGAGTCAAAACTTTTTTCTTATGTTCTGTATGATTTTTTAATTAACTGGAGCAAGGGAAAAATGGTGCATTGATTAATAAAACTTGATCGATGTGCACAAAACCATTAGAGGTTGTGGCTGAAGCATGGTCAAATATGGAAAACTGCACATTGAAGCAACTGTAACTTAGCTGTCCAAATCTGTAGGTTTCTTTCTTACACGATAACCTAACAAGACTACTTCATGTTTTCTCCTTCTCAACTGCCAGTCCTAAACTAGAAACTTCCAACAAAAGCAGTCCGTTCCCTAATTTGCTGTAAAAAGTATAGCATCTGGGCTAGCCAAAGGAAAAGCTTCTTTAGAAGATAATAATATGAAATAATAAAATAAAAGCATTTTCTCCAATACAAAAAAGAAAACCATGTAGGGAACAGCCAGCAAATCACAAGCCACTAATGAGGATCTGACTTCCATCGTCTTTCCAAGAACCATAAAAAAACATGCAAACACCAGTATGACACCAGACAGGATCAGACAGGACCAAACATATTCCTCCCTCATGAAGGAATGCAAACAGCTGAGCTTAAAGTGAATTGAGGAACACTTAAGATATGAAAAACAACCAACAACCACACACTGCCTACACAACTTTAGATACTTTCTGAAGATAAGCTTGTTTCTTATGACCTCAGCAGGACTTTACTCTGAAAAAGCAGGAACTTAACATATAGGAGAACACAGAGGCTAATTCTTTGCAGACTTGGAACCATTTATTCCTGCTCCTTTTTATGACAGAAAATCAGTACCCACCCTTGCTTGGCTTCTGCAGACGTCATCAAATGCCTTCCAAACTAAACACCGTCCCATTAAAATAAAGGAAGATATTTCATCTAGCATTAAAATTTGCCAGGCCTCATTAGGTAGCCTTAAGCTGCATTTATTTTGGCATGGATCACTTTAATAAAGAGACAAATACTTTAGGAAAAAAATGTTAAAATAATTGTTCTTGTTAAGTGTTTGTCCCATATATAAATGAGAACTGTTCTATTTAAGAAGCCTTTCATATAAACCATAGCCATGTGAGTCACCACTTGTATTGCTTTTCATAAACATGAAATAAAAGATTTTCCCATGAATGGGTTTCTACCACGTGTTGATTCTCATAAATTCAGCATACGGAGGTTTCTACAAATCATTAACTTTTTTTTTTCTTTTGCTCCAGACTTTAGTAGATTGAATATGCAGAGCCTGACTAAACTCTGTAAAAAACCTTGGCTGGGAATATCCAATAACAATTATTCCAAGACTGCTCAAGAGAAGAAAAGTAATCCAAACAACCTTGACTGTCTTCCACACAAAGAATCATGTCGGTCTAAAGGATTTGGCGACACAAAGAAAACCAAAACATGTTAACAAGCGTTAACATGGTAGACAACGTTAATGACAAACAGTTTAACAAACAAAAATTTTGAATTATGCCAGGCTGTGCTAACAGTGGAAAAGTCTATTAACTAAATATACTTGTCACAAGGGTCTGGATGAACTTGTTGCAAATAGTTCTTTTATGCTATGAATTTTATTATAACATATCCACAGCAAGTTTTGCAAAGGAGATGGGAATTTTTAATTTTTAACAGTCATATCATATACTCCTCAGCATTGCCTTAAAGAGTTTTACATATTAACTTATTGATCCTACAATTTTTTTGCAATCAGTATTGGCTGCTTCAGCTACTAACATTAATGGAGTATATTTGATCTATGTTGTATAATGGGATATGTAGCTGAACCAAGATCTTCATCCATCCATCCATTTTCCGTCACGCTTATCCCAAGCGGGGTCGCGAGGGATGCTGGTGCCTATTTCCAGCTGTCTACGGGCGAGAGGCAGGGTGCACGCTGGACAGGTTGACAGTCTCAAGATCTTCATCTATGACAAAAAATCCTAAACTGAACTTTCAATTTTTCAGTGTTTTTTCTAAAAACTGCATCATAGACTGTTTGACATAAAACAATGACAGGAAGCTAACTTAGAGATCGACTGAGTTTAATGAACGGCTGTCTGCACTAAGCAGTGCTACTTTTACTTGTGAAAACTTTTTGGCAACTCTACTCAGCTCTGAACGAATATGCTGAACGAAGCATCTCACAGTTTAGAAACCTCCCATGTCTATGCTGCAATTACTGCTAAATCTTAAATATCAAAGTCATGACTAAGGTTTAGCATCGTCCCTGAGAAAAAATCGCAATAAAGGTTATTGCGGGTGGGTATGGGTGTTGGTCAAAAGAAACATATTAACATTTTTATATTTCTACAAGTTTTTTTATAGTTTTGCATGAGTCAGCCACAAGTGAAAGGTCTGCTCCAGTAAAACCTCATTTTGGAAAACCTCTACATGTCAGGGCAGTCACTTAAGTGATCAACAGGATTAAAACACATCCTGGAATCTATTGAGCACAGTTGATGAATCTTTGTTGCTGTGAATTTAAAGATTATTAAATTTTTTGATTATCCTATTCATTGAAGGAAGGATGGAAATTTGTTATCGCTTACTTAAAATATGCTCTTGAACTCAGCTTGTATAAACATTACAGATGTTTCTTGCTTTGTTTAGTTTGTGAAGTGCTACCACTTCCCCTCTCAGCCAGCACAATGTGCACAGAGCATGATGGGTGGCTGCAGCATACATGAACCCCCTCCATGAACTTCAAGGGCATGAGGCTTTAGCTGGAAACAGAGCATGGACATTTGTGGAGGACAGACTAGGAAGTAAAACAGTTTAATTGTTTCCATCCACAGGCGCTAAGGTTAGATGCTCGACTGCTTCCGTATGTTGTATCAAAACTGACAGCAGCAATGTATGAACACAATGACTTCACTTACAGTATGTGTTAAACACATCTAATTTTCCCCACTAAATAGGAACTCTATTATTATACTGACAAATATATGAAGCAATGAACACTACATACAAAAAAACATGTTTCTGTAAATTAAAGCATGGCTTGCGTGAAGATAAAACAAAGCCTGAAAGAACAGCTTCAACTATACTTTTTATTCAACTAAACTTTTATTAAAATAAAAAAAATCCCTGAATGTTTCTGTCAGAGTTTCAATTTGTCCTTGTTGTATGTTTTTCTACTTACTTGAATTTCAGACTCATTGCAGGCAATAATATATTCTGTCCGTCCGGTTTCGTTTCCTGCGGCAGACCAGCTCTCTCAAATGTTCATTGGGTGCCTTTCCTTTCTTCAGAACTGTTCAGAACTCTTTCCTTCTCATTTCCACAAAGACATCCCACTGCTTTCTGACGTTATGCTACTCCCCCAACCTCCTCCTATTACCTTCACCCATCCCCCACCATGTATGTCATAAAGAAAAGAGGAAGAAGACTTCATATGCAGCTACATATGTATTTGGGGCTAGGAAATACCTAATGAGAGGTTGGTTAACTAACCAACTAGTTAAATATAGTTCACATTGGGTGTGTTTGCCCCTTTACCAATTCATTCTCCCTTTCCATGAACTCATGCAGTCATAGTATCCTACCCTGCTCTGATTCTGTACCCATAATCAATATAATCATATTTATTTTGTGCTGCTACTCAAGTGCTTTTATTAAAGGACTGATGTCCAAGCAGGATCTAGAAAAACTTCTTCATGCATTTATCTTTAGTAGAATTTATCACTGCAACACTTAGGTAGATTTCTCCTAAACAGTCCATCAGAAAGCTACAGCTGATCCAAAATGCTGCTTGTTGTTTTCACTAGCACTAAGAAAGTAGATCACATCATCCCGGTTTTGAAGTCCTTACAATGGCTAGAGAGAGCTAAGAGAATAGACTTTAAGATCCCTTAGTCTATAAATCACTGAATGGATTAGCACCTCGATACATAACAGGTTTGTTGTCAGTGTATCAACCTCCCATGCCACTCAGGTGGTAGGTCTGGAAAAGTGCTAAAAAACAGGTTCTTTTAAGGCATAGTTAAAAACCCATTTGTTTAGAGCTGCCTTTGACTGTTGAAGTTAAATTGTTAACTGAATTATTATTAGTTTAAGGTTGTGGTCCAACTGTTTTATTCGTTTTACAAATGTTTTTGCTTTTATTCAGATTTTATTTTTCTTCAATTTTATTATCTAATTCATGTAAAGCACTTACATGTAAAGCATCATATACTAAATTGTGCCATACAAATAAACTTGCCTTACCTTGTATTAGTTATTGAGATAAATATGAATTACATTTTTTGTGGGGGTGATCTGAAGATCAAATATTTTATTTTTACCGATTGTGTTTCTGATCGTTGTTTAGCCTTCAGCTCTAATGAAATTAGATGTTCATTCAGTCCTAAATCAGAGATTATGACCCATTATCATCTCCTGCTGGTGGAGAATATTTATTAGTCACATAACGATAATACTTTGAATAGATAAAAGGTAATTATTTGTGACCTTTTGTTGTCAGAACAGGTATATCTGAAAGATGAATTTATGCATGGTTAGAATGGGATTCCCTTTTGTACACACTTTTGTTCTTGACTGAAAAAGACAAGAACAAAATAAGCAAAAGAAATTGAGGTGTGAAATGATTATGAACCTATTCAGCTTTTTAAGTTTTGGAAAAGGTTTGCCTCTGGGCTCTGTACTTGAATGACAACATTAAAGATGAACTCGCCACAATAGACGAACCTGCTAGTTTGGAGGATTTAATCCGTTTGACCATCAGGTTGGATAACAGACTTCGGACTAGAAATCACTCAAGGCAGAGAAACCTGAATTTTTCTGTTTCAACTCCTGCATTTAATTATGCTTCTGTTTTTTCTGGTTCCCCAGAACCCAGTACCAAGCCAAGGTCTAAGAATCAGACTCTTCCAGCGCCTGTCCAAGTCTCTCATTTCTCTTCTTCAGAAGGGGCGGAGGCCGAACCCATGCAAATTGGACACACTAGGCTATCCCCTGAAGAGAGGCAACAGAGATTTAAAGCTAAACTGTGTCTGTATTGTGGTGAGACTGGCCATTTTATTGCTTCATGCCCGGCTAAATCAAAAGCCAGGGCCCGTCAGAGGATGTGAGGAGTCTGACGGGCCACCTAAGATCTGAGAAATCTCCTCATTTGTTGTTGCCTGCTACTCTGTTCTTTTCTAACCAGAATCTCACCTTATCAGCATTCATCGACTCTGGCTGTGAAAGAAACCTTATTGATTCAGACCTGGTCCAGCAGTTAAAAATTGAGACTGTTCCTTTAACTAAACCTCTCAGAGTTTCTGCTATCGATGGAAAGAAGCTTCATCAAGTCACTCATCAGACACAACCCTTAGAACTGCTTATCTCTGGAAACCACCGGGAGATGATAACGTTTTTTGTTTTTCCTTCAGCTTGCTTTCCCCTGGTGCTTGGATCCGAGTGGTTGGAACGTCATAACCCCCATATCAACTGGGCTGAACGCCACATTGAATCCTGGTCCACCTCCTGTCACGAATCCTGTCTTCGTTCTGCGGCTCCTACTATTCAGTCTCCTAGAGGTAGGGGGGAGATGGACTCTCCTGACCTTACTTCTGTTCCTTCCGAGTATCATGATCTGGCACCAGTCTTCAGTAAGGTCAGAGCGACGTCTCTTCCACCTCACAGACCATATGACTGCGCCATAGATTTCCTACCAGGAGCCCCTCTTCCCAGCAGTAGATTGTATAACATTTCCAAACCAGAGCGTGGAACCATGGAAAAATACATCAATGAATCTCTAACTGCTGGAATAATTCGCCCATCTTCATCTCCTCTCGGTGCTGGTTTTTTCTTTGTGGGTAAAAAGGATGGTTCCCTGCGCCTCTGTATTGACTACAGGGGTTTGATACAGATTACCATCAAAAATAAATATCCCCTGCCATTACTGGCATCAGCTTTTGAACCTGTACAAGGTGCTACAGTGTTCACCAAGCTCGATCTAAGAAACGCCTACCACCTCCTTAGAATAAGAGAATGGGATGAATGGAAAACTGCCTTTAAGACCCCCTTAGGGCAATTTGAGTACCTGGTCATGCTTTTTGGCCTCACGAACGCTCCTGCCTGTTTCCAAGCTCTTGTCAATGACGTCCTCAGAAATTTTTTGAATGTTTTTGTTTTTGTCTATATCGATGATATTTTGATCTACTCCAAGAACCTCTCAGACCACAGGAAACATGTTCGTTTAGTCCTTCAGAGACTTCTGGAAAATAAACTTTTTGTGAAAGCTGAAAAATGTGAATTTCATCAACATTCTGTCACTTTCCTAGGGTTTGTGCTCGAGGGCGGGCAGGTGAAGCCATCAGAAGACAAGATAAAGGCAGTTCTGGATTGGCCTACACCTGAAAACCGCAAGCAACTCCAGAGATTTCTTGGTTTTGCAAACTTCTATAGGAGGTTCATAAGAAACTATAGCCAGACAGCTCTACCCCTCACAGCTCTTACCTCTGTTAAAAGAACATTCCAATGGACCCCTGAGGCCGAAAATGCCTTCAATAAATTAAAGAATCTCTTTTCCAGTGCCCCCATCTTGGTTCAGCCTGATCCTACGAAACAGTTCATCCTTGAGGTGGATGCATCTGATTCCGGTGTAGGAGCTGTTCTATCTCAGCAGTCAGATTCTGACCAGAAAACTCACCCATGTGCTTTCTTTTCACGCAGACTATCCCAAGCCGAACAAAATTATGATGTTGGTGACCGAGAACTTCTTGCCATTAAGCTCGGCCTGGAGGAATGGAGTCACTGGCTCGAGGGGGCTGAGCATCCAGTACTGGTTTGGACAGACCACAAGAACCTGGCTTATATCAAATCGGCAAAAAGATTCAACCCACAGCATTCAAGGTGGTCTTTGTTCTTTTCACGCTTCAATCTCATCATTTCCTATAGACCTGGTTCCAAGAACGTCAAGCCCGACTCTCTCTCTCGTCTGTATTCCACCGATCAACCTGAGACACCCGAACCTGTTCTCCCTGCCTCATGTACCGTTTGAGCTGTTTCCTGGGAGATCACTGATCTGATCAACTCTGCCCTGGCTTCTGAACCTGACCCAGGTAATCATCCTCCTAATAAAATGTATGTCCCGTCTTCCGTCAGATCCCGCCTCATCCAGTGGATGCACGCAGCTAAATTCTCGGCCCATCCTGGAGTGAGCAGAACCATCGCCCTCATAAACAGGCGATTTTGGTGGCCGTCTCTGCATAAAGACGTCAAAGAGTACGTTATGGCTTGTCCCATCTGCGCTAGAAACAAGACCTCCCACCAACCACTTTCTGGTCTGCTGCATCCTCTACCTGTTCCAACCCGTCCTTGGTTTCATATTGCTGTCGATTTTGTCACTGGTCTCCCGATTTCTAGAGGTATGACTACAATACTAACCATCGTCGATCGATTTTCCAAGGCCTGTCATCTTATTCCCCTCAGAAAGCTCCCCACAGCATTCCAGACGGCTCAGCTCCTCGTGAAGCATTTTTTTCGCCTCCATGGTATTCCTCAAGAAATCCTCTCAGATCGTGGTCCCCAGTTCATCTCACAGGTCTGGAAAGCTTTCTGTTCTGCATTATATTGCAAATCCTCTCTCACCTCTGGTTATCATCCTAAATCGAAAAGTACGAGAGAGAGATAACGGTCAGATCAGTCCATCATCACATCCGCCGCTGCCAACGTATTTGGAGGGATACCATCACCACCCTCACCCGCTCGTCAGCCTCAACCAAAAAGTTCGCTGACTCCAAGAGGCGTCCTGCCCCTGACTACACTCCAGGCCAAGAGGTTTGGTTGTCCACCCGAGACATTCCCCTAAAGGCTATGTCCAGGAAACTTTCACCCAGGTTCATCGGTCCATACAAAATCGATCGCATAATTAACCCCTCTGCTGTCCGCCTGCACCTGCCACCTTCTCTGCGCATCCACCCGACATTCCATGTTTCCCAGATAAAGCCTGCAGTCACTAGTTCTTTGTGCCCGCCTTCCGACTCCCCTCCACCCGCCCTGGACATCGATGGTCATCTGGCTTACACGGTTCGCCGGATCGTGGACTCCCGTCGGCGAGGTCGCGGTCGGCAGTACCTCGTCGACTGGGAGGGCTACGGTCCGGAGGACCGCACCTGGGTTCCTGGCTCGTTTATCCTCGATCCGTCCATGATCGAGGATTTACGAGAAGTCCCTCCCGTCCACATCCTCGGGACCGCCAAGAGGCGGTCGTTGAGAGGGGGGTACTGTTGGGATCTGGAGATTCTCCACCTTCTCCAGCAGAGTGCGCTGTGGATCTCCTGGGCTGGAGCCCTCCAGCACAGCT